TATATTCTATTAAATATTTAAAGAATACCAAGAAATTCAGAAAATTCTTCGAAGTAAAATCTCTAATGAACTGCAGCACTTTATAGTAGTAAAGAATTTCGTCTGATAATATAAAGAATGCTATGAGCGAATGTCGGAGCAAAGACATAACATAAATACTAGAGTTTAGCATAGTATATCAGGTATAGTAGTATATATAATAGTGCATTGTATTAAACTATCTAGTATATCATATCATATTCTTCTGATCAGTACTTAACCCAACAACAACAACACTCAAAATGTATTTCAAGAGTCAAGCATCTAAAAATACTTTATCAATGGTAAACTTTAGCTTCCAGCTAACATACTACATTGGCATACTGCAGCTGACTAATAACAATAATTCTCATAGTTTAGTCACACGCTCAGCTTAGCTCTGGGATGAGTCGATCGCACAGGTAAACAATATGATTTCAAATAGCAGGGAATCAAACGTCTGAGAAGTAGAACCATGCCGTCTGGCTGAGAGCTTCGTCATATGGAGCCGGCTCCCTGCTTATCTCTCGAATTGCTCTATATACGAGTATATCAAATTTTGCATGATGTCAATGAGGAAAATGTTATTTTTTAGACTGAATGACGATGCGGCAGAGCCTGAATCAACCGAAATAATATGGAACATTGGTGATTCTCTTTATGGAATAGCTAATGCGCGATATTTATTGAAATTATGTGTGACAAACAATTTCCTATGGACTTTTATGTAAGCGTTCGCATTAGGTTTAGAGCTCGCCGGCAATCAAAAGCGAGCCAAGTGTTTGCCTACAAAAGAAATCGTAAATAGCCCCAGGTAACGCCGGCTGTTGACCAAAAACTATATCGACTCGTTTGTAATATTTATTTTCATAAATTTTTATTATTTATATTTATTTATTCATATTTTGTTTTTTATTTTTACATGCGAGTATTCATTCACAGCTCTATGCAAATTTTATAGTTTTTTTTGCTTTGTCGCTGTTGATTTTTGAGTGAAGCATGACAAGATTTTTAATCAAATTGAATTTCGCATTGGTCTTTGATATTTTTTTGTGTTACCCATTCAAGCGAGTGCCACACACATAAAATTCGGCTATTGACACAGTTAAGGCAAACGAGCATAATTATTTTTTTGGTAGGGAGAAAATGTGAGCCTAAAAATTAAAAAACTACTATGCCTAGGCAAACAAACTGGGAATAATATTTATTTGGCATGGTAATAAAATGCTAAAGAAAATAAATAGTAAAAGTAAGTGAAAACTAATTAGAAATTAAATTTTACAGATAAATTAAAAATAAAAAACAAATTGAAGGGAAATAGGAAAATGATTTACAAAATTATATTTCATAAAAAAAAAGATTTATAAATAAGAATATATATA